CGAAAAAATGTTCTCTCTCTCTCTCTCTCTCTCTCTCTCTCTTTCTGTCTTCTATTCAGTCTATCTCTACTTATATATCTATTTTTTTTCTCTTTCTCTGTTGGTATTTATTTATATTTAGAAGTCTGTGAAAGAAAGAAGAAAATGAAAGTAATAAAAAATAAGAAATGAAAGAAATAAGAGTTGTTTATTATAAAGAAATCGTTTAATTTGTTATTAGTTGCGAAGAAATAATTAATGAATTAATAACTTCTATGTTATTATGTTATTATATTAACGTTAATTTAAAATAAATTATTAATTGCAAACGTTCAAACTATAAACACTGATTTTAGTATAGGGGTTTAAGGCCAATTATTCTGTTACTAAGATTTGTTGATTCTTCCACATCCAATCCCACTTCATTGGTTCTCGTGATAAATAACTTATAGGTCTCATGAGTGGTTAGATTCTTGATGATTTCCTTCATTTCTTTGGACGTAATCTTTGCGATGAAATCAGTGAAAGTTTTGGAAGTCTTTGACTTTTTTATGTAAAGAGCATCAATTTCTTCCAAAGGTAATACAGCATAAAGATCCTTGAGCAGCCCTTCCATTCCATCACCGATCTTCTGTATCTTACTTAGAGACATGAAAAGGTTCTTTATTTTGGGTGGCACATATTTTTCCATGCCGATAGCATGATGGAATGCTTGAATAGATTCAATAACAGGGAGTCCAGCCTTTTCTAAATATGCCACGAATGCTTGATATTCCTTAAGAGCTTCGAGAGCGCGCAGCAGATCGTGGAACTCAGTTGTGAATACGAACAGTGCAGCTTTTTGTACTTTTTCGTCTTCATTTACATACTGGACTATTATGCTGAGAAACTTTTCTATCGGAATAAGATGGATGAAATCTTCTAGTTCTGCTATTATTGTTTTAGAAGGAAGACTTGGTACCTTGATGCCGAGAACGAGATACATGATATCTCCCAGAATTTTTAAACTCACTGATTTAACCTCAAGATAATTTAGGATCAACTGGAAGGTTTCAATTTTAGAAATTTTGTTAACAATCTGTTGGAAATTATTGGATTTAAGTTGGTTAATGAAGTTGACAAAGGCTGTAGAGGTTTTTAATTTATCCGCAAATATGCTAATAAAGACATCATAATCAATGTGTTTCTTGATTTCATTGATCAATCCACGGAGTCCGCCGGTCTTCCTCGGTATAAAATATGTTTGAGAGCTGGGTGGTACGAGTTCCTTAATATCATGTGTTCGGTTAATCATGTTCATTACATGAAAAATATTGATGCCTTCATTATGCAGATAAATAAATAGCCTGAGTACTTCAGGAATGGTTTGAATGTCTATTAGCATGCGTTTGATTATAAGTGTACTTTGATGAAAGTCATTAAATATCTCTTGTATTTCATTATCATACATCATATAGTACACAACATCATCGATAATTTTTTCCAGAGGAATTAAATCTAGAATGTCTTGTAAATCCTCATGAAGAGGACCTATACCGAAATTCGGAAACTGATGAGTTTGTCCCAGACCGATAATGGCCAAGATGGCAAATAATCTTAATGTGAATTTCATCTGTAAATTAATATTGAGAGTATTACACAATATATCTTTCAATATGTATAACTATCATGTAATGAAAAGCATTACTTTAAAAAATATATCAATGTTTTCCATTAATTAATTTTCATATATTAAATTTCATATATAAAATTTGCGATTACATATAAAAAATAAATGACGTAAATAATAATTATTTTGTTAAGATTATAATTTTTATTTTATATATGAATAAATCAAAGTTTAAAAATTTTTTGTAATAATAAATCTTTTTGCGAATTAAGATTTAAAAATTTAAAAATATATAACAAAAAGTTACATATTTTTAATATATATACTTTTTTTCTTAGTTTTATTTAATTTTAACTAGATTTTTCTTAAATAAAATAGATCAAATTGAAGATCACAATATGAAATAATATAAGGAATATAATAAAAAATACAAAAATGTATGCTCTATTTCTCCATCTTATTTAACTTTAAGTAGATTTTTCTTAAATAATTATTAAATTAAATATTAAATTAAAAACAAAACAAAGCAAATACAGTACAAAAAAATTAAAAAATACCAAGATATATATTTCATTAATTATAAGAATTTTTTGAAAGAAGAAATCTATATGATTAAATTTCTATTAAAAATTAAATTTGTACTGAACTATAGATTGGTTGATTGAATGATTGGTTAATTGTTCTTTCTAAAAATAGAAAGAACAATTACTTGCATAAATATAACTTGTTGTAAAATTCTCATTCTTATACATATGTATATATATAAGACGTATGAAGAAACTTTACTTACTGTGACAGTTGTAGATGCAGATTGTGAACGTGAATAATTTATCGTATATTTATATACTAGTAATCGAGCTGTACGAAAAGATTAGGATATTCGATAAGAAACTGCGATTAGATTAAGATATTGATTCGTACGAAAATTTAAGAATTATTTGATAAGCTTTTAGACGAATTTGATTAGCTTTCCAAATATATTATATATGTATATACATGTATAAAATAAAAAGTAATAAAAATGTGTGAATATAACACAACTCTTCTTCTAAATATGATAAATATTTGTAAAATTTATATTTGCATTTATTTGGATTAACGGCGCATTTCATTTGCGCATATTTATAATTGACTTTAATGTTTAAAGAATATTTCAGTTTTAATATTTTTATTTATTTGCTTTACAATTTTTATTTTCTGTTATTATCTATCTTTTACTATGTAGTTGTATTTAACAATTTGTGTTTTCTCTTTAATTTATCCGCAATATCTTATTATGAGTGATGATTGATGAACTGTTTTATTTGCTAGTCTGTATTTTAAAATCATAGATTACATTTTTTTCACAAAGGAAAAATAATATATTTCTATTTTTTAGATTTTATATTATGATGTATTTATTTAGATACTCATAATTAAGTCATGTTTCTTTTTTCCCGTTTGATGTTAATCATGCTATGATTCATATCAAATTTGTCAGAATATGTACTCAAAATAATTTATAATTTATTGATAACTTTCTTATTTCTCATTATTAAACAAAGATTACTCAAGATAACGTGTAAAAACATTTCATTTGAAGGAAATATATTTATCTTCACTTTAACATAGCGATCATTAAAAATAAAGGACAAAACATCTGTTATTGATAATATTTGTTTGACATATAATAAAAAGAATTAAAAGTACGATATACCTTCATGACATTACTATGCTTTGTGTTATTAATAAATGGTATAGAATTCCATGTTGTACAAAATATTGAATATATAAAACATCAGATATCGAGAACATTATATAATTATTAAAATATAAAAATGAAAAATTTATAATACAAAAATTTATAATACAAATATTGACCTTATTTTGTTAAATAATAACAATATTTTTATTACAGAATTTATAATTTATAGTGAAATCAAATAAACAAAATAAATAATATTAAAATTAAAATAATCAATAACTTTTCTGTAAAAAGTAAAATATACAAATTTATTATATGGTAAATATGAAATTACGCTATTAGAATTGTTTTAATACATCAAAAACTTTTTACAAATTTTAACTTCTAATAAAATATCTTGTTATTAAATAAAAAGTTGTGTATAGCATAAATAATATGATATTTAAATTTACTTGTTATTGATATTTAAATTTACTTGTTATATGCATTGATTTCCGAATAATCTGCATTTTTTCTTAACGTTGAAATTATCTTATCTAATCCTTTATTAACTGACTTTTCTAACAAGATTTAAGATAACTTTGATATATAAATCTGTGCTAACTAGTTAGGTACTCGAATGTCTTTGTGCTCATCGACAACTGTCATTGTAAGTAAAAACATAGTCTTTTATAAAAAGATCACATATGCATGAACAGATAAATAAAATTACATTTTTTAATAAATAAATAAATTGCATAATAATTATGAAAAACATCTTAATTAAATAATAATAATTTCTTTTTATTATCCTTATTATTACTTTCTCAACGTAAATCATAAATAAAACAATTATAATTTAAAAAATAATGTATTTTTAAAAATAATTCTTTTTTTTACACATCAAAATTCATACACATAAAATGTTAAATTTTGGTAATAAAAATTTAATTATGACATATTTAATAACTTCTTACACGTGAATGTACTACAGATGAAGTATATATCAGCGCTATTTGTCGCCTTGACCATTATCGGTCTGGGACAAGCTCATCAATTCCCGGACTTTGGCAAAGGTATTCTTCATGAGGATATCCAAGACTGTTTGGACTTAATTCCTTATAAAGAAATTCAAACCATCGTTTTGGATTACGTATTAGGAGATTCGGAAATACAAGAAGCTGTTAATTATCTTAAAACTTCGACTATATTAAAAGACTTGATGATAGATTTGGAAGCTATTCCTGAAGTGATTAACATTCTAAATTATATGCAAAAGGAAGGCGTCGATGCTTATTCATTAATAAATAAAGCTAACGATGCTCTCGGTATCAACAGGATCACACCACCTCCTTCTCGTTTATATTCATTGGTCATACAGAGGACTGGTGGGATTGCAGGACTTGTCAAAGATATTACGAATGTGATTCCTATTGCCAAGATCATTCGTACTTACGTGCAAAAGATGAAAACTTCTTCAGCTTTCGTTGGTTTTGTTAATCAACTCAAGTCAGACAATGCCCAGCAGGCCGTAAACAAAGTCTATCAAATTAAATCCTTGCAGATCATTTTGAATAGACTCAAAAGCAGCGGAGTGAATACGCAGATTACAGCTGACGTCATATATATTGTCCTCGGCCTTAACGTACCGAACGATGTTACTATTTACCAAGAACCTACGCTGGAAGACGAATTGATGGATTTTGTGGATCTTCTTCCGGTTGATTAGTTTATTGAGTTAATTTAAAGTATAAGCTGAAAATGAAAAAGTATAGCACTTTCTGCAATACTTGCAAAATTCCATTTCTGCGCGATCTTGAAACTTTTAAAGAGCATCAAGCATTAGTAATATATCTGGAGGAGGCTGGATTGAATGTTACTGATTACATCAAAACATTTCATAAGACTATTGGCATGGAGGATTATGTGCCGCCTAAAATAGAAAGCATTTTCAAATCTCAAATTGAAATACAAAAGATTGATGATGGGATAAAAGGATTGTTAGAGGATCTTTATAATTTAATACCTTTTGATAAGGTTCAAGCTCTTTACAATGAGAAATTGCAGAATTCCAAGGTCTTTGTCGATTTCATCTGGAAGATAAAATCTCCGGAAATGTAGAAATTAATCAATGATCTGTATGTAAATCAAACTTTTAAAAATTTTATGATGAAGGCCAAAGAAAATAAATGTGAACTTCCGGAATTGACAAAATTTTCCACTAGAATATTTGGTTTTAAGTTCGCACATATTAAAATACATAATGTCATGTTTTAAGCGCTTATTTTAAATATATGTTTTTTTATGTCGTTATTATATGATGCCGATGTTGATATAATGAGAATAATAAAACAAAGTAATTCTTGAATTAAACAATTATTTCTTTAATAATTATTTCTTTAATAATTATAAATAATAATTATATCACTTTACAATATAATAAATAAATTATTTTAATTCTTTTATGTAACATAAAGATCGAAATAAAAAGTTAAAGTCTCAAATGCCGATATAAGATTCTTACATTGCTTTGATTTTAAAGCAATAATAAACTTTAGTCTTTAGTTCAATATAATTTCCTTAATGTTCCTTTCCTAATGTAATAGATAATTTTCTTCTTCAACTACTTATTTCTGTATTGCATTTTATTAAAATTACTTTTATCCCACAACAAAGTAATTTGTTGATGCGCATTTACATTGTTTCTATGCGAACCATCTATACGTTGGGTTAATACAAATCATGTGATGTTAAAGAATTAATATACTCTAATTAAATTTAGTAGTATTCAACTTACCAAAGTAATATAAATATGTAGAAAATTTATTTATAAAAAAAACATGTCTTTAAGGAATACGTTTTAATACAAAAAAAAATCAAATTTAAATACTTTATTGTCTTGCATTTTAATTCATCAAGAGTTAACTCAAAGTTTGCAATGTCGAACCATATTCACGTTACCGTTCTGAAATTCTTTCTAATCCAACTATTAATATTCCCATTTTTCGCAACAATGTTACTGTTTTTAAAAATAAATTGATTCCGAATTCTCTCAGTAAAAAAAGCTCGAGTATCATCATTACATTTTTTTGTTAATACGTCTAAAGTTTCTCCGATCATAAGAAATCCATGTGCAATGAAGAATGATATTCGTGCCTATTTAATAAATATAAAAAGATGATGTTACGCAGGCGGTACTAATTTAAAACAAGAAATTAAAGAATGCCTGAGTAGGTATCTAATTTTTTTGTACTGAAGATAAAAAGAATATCTTTAATTGCGAGATAGGTACTCTTAGACACAAAGAAAACAAAACTGTAGAAACGGGAGAAGGGAGAATGTAAGGGCCGGTGCTTCCCTAATTAAAATTGTTACAATTTAATAAGCCTCGGAACTCATCATTGGCGCGTCGTAATGGGAAATCGTGAGAAGAATAAATGAAATAGAACGAGAGAGAGAGAGAGAGAGACTTTTAGAAGAAGAATGAGAAGAAATCGGACGCTTAAACGAGCGTCTTTAAGGGTTACGGACAAAGAGGCTGCAAAAGAGTGAGAGAAAGGGAAAGGAAAGAGACAAAGGGGAAGAAGTGCAAGGGCGCAGAGGAGAAATCTTCTTCGCGATCTCTTAACTTTTCCACTCAATATGGAGCGCAAACTGTACTTTCTTTCTTGCAATATAACTCTCTTTATGATATAGCTTTTGCAAAAGGTTTAATGCGATTTTATGATTTTGCTTCCTTTTTTTAACTTTTTTTTTATCTTATATATATATCGAGTGTAAAATTATGCCAATTATATGAAGAAAACAAACGATAGTATTTATCATAAATTTAATTTATTGTCACTTGAAGAAATAGATAATATAATTTAATATAACAATTTGAATAATAGAAGTGCTTTTATTTCCTCGGTTTATTTTGTTAAGATACTATAAATATTAATATTAGAAAAAAATTATATATTTTAAGCGAATAACTTACAAAAATATCACTTTAAGTTTTTTATTTTAGCTTTTTTCAAAATTTTTACTCTTTTCAAATTTGAAATTCCTATGGTAAATTGTAAATAACATCATTATATTATAATAATTTTTACAAAAATCAGTTTTTGTGTGATAAAGACAGTTGTTAAATGATTTTTTTTTTTAAAGAAAAATACATCTTGGAACCTTCTGTATCGCTATGTTTAATTGGCAATAGTGGTACCATCGGCTTCATAATTGTACTTTGGAGGATCTTCGTTTCGTTCGAAGTTCCACCTGCACAACGACGAGTCATATCAAATTATTTTCTCCTGTTAGCCAGAAAACTTTTGTCCGATATTATGGCGGCATGTGGCGGTAACAGCCTGCCGTGCCGGTTCTATCGTTACCAACATAACGGCCTCGAGGATTTTCACAGTAAAACAAGAAGAACCAACTAAGAAAATGTGTTCGGAATTGCATTAAGGCGGCTTTTGCCGCCGGGCAGAATCCCGCGAGTAATCCCGGTACTCCGATCGTAGCTTTACCAACCAGTACACAATAACGGATGCAAAACGTGTATATAAAGGCGCATTTTGGAATCTTGACAGAATTGCAAGATGCTGCAAAAAGCAGCTATATTATGATAGTTTATAATATTGGCCAATAATTTGTGAATACTCGCAAAATATCTGTAATATTTCCAAGTAATTTTGCATAATATGCGAAGCATATCATGCATTCTTTTTTTCTTTCAAATTAATAATTTAATTAATTTAATTTAATTGTATTTGTAATTTAATTTGAAAAATTTTGTTTTAGGTACATATACAATTAACTGTTTTTGAAACTTACTTGTCTTTTATGATAAATAATTTTTTATTTTTCTAAGCGTTTACGAGTTTAATAACTAATATTATAATTCTGCTGTATCGCAGTAATATAGAAATTATGTTTTATTATTATATTTATTTGCAACATAATTTGCTTTTATAATTAAAACAATTTTTAACGCCAGTGATATAAATCATTATTTTTTAAGAAAAAGCAAATCATGTCCGCGTACAATATCAGTCATATAAACATATGTTATATGGCAGCAGATAATATTTTACTTCAAAAATAATAAACTCTACATATTATTTTGTTTATCACTTCTCTATTAATTTGACTAAATTTACAATCTATTTTTATGATTAAAAAGTTCTAATCAATTTTAATAGTTGATTCAAAATAATTCTTCAGTCTTTTCAGAATTCTCTTTAATTTAAAACGATGCTTTTGTTTGAATCTTTATATTTATTATTTTTATTTCTATTAATACATGTTTTGTTTATTTATAAGTTTTCATCATATAAGTAAAGTTAATAAAATTAGCAACTAGATTATCCTATTGAAAACCAAAGTTCAAAGCTTATTAATCGTTCTTCAAATATCAATAATAAATTCATGCTCGTATCTCTAAATTAATAATTGACATTTTCAATCTCTTAAAAAAACAAGGGCAAATTTCAACATTAAGATATCATTGATTTTTATCAATATACATCAATATAAAATTAGATAAAGCAAATCTCAATGAACATTGTCTTCTTATTTATCAAATGGGTATCTCTTGAATTTTCCATCGCAAAAGGCTTCTTTGATATTGAAATGCAAACAATTCGTTTAAAAACGGATAGGAACGAGTGCCAATAAAGGCGTGGCATACAGGGCGAATGAAAAAATTTGTGTTTTACGACACGTTATCCGGCAACGTCGAGAATTGGACTAAACTCGGCCAATCGGAAGTCCCTTGTGTTTGATAACGGAAAAAAGCCTGGCAACGACGCGAGGAACAAAGCGTTCTTTTACTCCCTTTAGTGTTACGTTCATGTTACGTTGCTTGCCTTTCAGGAAAGCTCGTTGCTAAAGAAAGACTCTGGGACGATTCTATGGTGCCGAAGAAGCGGAGAGGTTACCCGCTAGAAAGTGGCAGAAAAGGTGGCCGTAACAAATCCTCGGCAAGTAATCGAGGTCGTGCCTCGGCAAGGTTTTACTCTCGAACACTTAACTCTATTGCGATTGGATTCTCTGGCTGCCTGGTGGAGCGCACACTCCACCGCGTCCCGCCTGTTTCGTTTTCTCGCCACCCCGCCGCTTTCGCCCCATCGCCGCGCTTGCCGCCCCCTTTGTCTCTTTCTGTACCGCTCCTCGACCACCTATATCGCGGAACACCTCGGTGGTTTCTTACACGTGGAAACCTTATTACTGGCGACACGATAAAATACCCCCGAGACGAAGGAGACCGTTGCTCGAGTGCCGGCACCACTATGAACTCTGACAGGGCGCAATGGGTAGAGACGATACGACGAGGATTGTACTCCGAGCAGTAATGGGAACTTTTAAAGATTGCACGTGAGGAAGATATATTCGGGAATGCGGGAGGGAAAAGTAGTTCGTGAGAGCAGTATTGTATAGGACAGTGAGGCATTGCTACCAGCCGTCAGTACGGGATACTTCCCAAATACATGGCAATGTTAGTTTTTAAATAGTCATGAATTAAAAGGAGATACTTTAAAATAACTGGAAAATATAAATAATTTTAATGTGTAATTTTATGATTTAGCTTTGATATCAAGCATTTCATATCAAAGTTGACAAATTTTTTTAAGAAATAACACCTTCGAAACTCTTGAATATTTAGTTGAAGAAAACACGTATCCTGTTTCTCTTTATATGTACAATGATATTTCATCAAGAAATTAAAATTATTGGATTTGGAAAATTTTTGGATTTTAATAAATACATATGAGCAACAAATAAAGTAAAGTAATATTTAATAACTCTTAATTAAATGAAATAATAATTTCTTAATTACAAATATAGTTATCTGAAATAAGATTTATTTAATATTTATCATAACATTTTTAAAGACGATTACATTAATTTTATTAATTAAACTAATTAATTAAACATTAATTTTATTAATAATTAATTAAATAATTACGAGATTTGTTCCACTTGCAAAACATTAAATGGAATACGTGAGACAGAAAATTATTATAATTTTGAAAACTTTGTTATTTGGTGGTAACAATCAGTGATTATATTCTTAGCAATTAGTATGAGTGACTTTCTCACCGCAGAGACGTGAGATTGAGAAGAGAAGAGGAGAGAAGAATTGTAGGGCGATAAAGAACTGTAGGGGTTAGTAACCCCTACAGGACGCGC